GTTCCGTGCGGGATTCGAACCCGCGGCCCCCCGGGCAGCAACTCATTGCTAAGCCACTACGCCACGGAGCCGTCAAGAAATAAAATTTCTTTTTTCCATTTCTTTTTGATCACCCTTATCTTATACACATTCACGTTGTAGTAATTAATTGTGTATTAATTTATTTAATGATGTATTAATTAATTTATTAAGTATCTTAAAATCTATAATATATAATATATATTAAAATCAAATTAAAAAGTAGGATACTAAAATCATGTTTTACTGTCTTTATTATTATTTTTTCTTGTTTTTTTTAAAAAACGTTACCCTCACACTAGGATTTTCTCCTGTGTCGTGGAGGCAGTTTACAAACATAAATTGCACAAGGACAAACATCCAGACCCGGAACAATTATTTGTAGGCCATACAAATACTTGTTCCGTGCGGGATTCGAACCCGCGGCCCCACGTTGTAGTGATTAATTGTGTATTAATTTATTTATTGATGTATTAATTGATTTATTAAATCTATAATATATGATATATATTAAAATCAAATTAAAAAGTAGGATACTAAAACCATGTTTTTACTGTCTTTATTATTATTTTTTTCTTTTTCTTTTTTTTTAAAAAACGTTACCCCCACACTAGGATTTTCTCCTGTGTCGTGGAGGCAGTTTACAAACATAAATTGCACAAGGACAAACATCCAGACGCGGAACAATTATTTGTAGGCCATACAAATACTTGTTCCGTGCGGGATTCGAACCCGCGGCCCCCAGCGCAACAACTAATTGCTAAGCCACTGCGCCACGGAGCCGTCAATATTCCCTATTAGTTACTTTATTTCGTTAATGTAATTTTTAGCTATGGAAGAGCGAAGTTACCTGTTACAGGCATTATTTTGCTTACTAGGTGACCTCGATCACTGATCATATAACGTAACTTTAATGTTTGACGAAATAAATTATTTATTATTATTATTATTAAGTTTTATTCTATAATTATATAATAAGAATAACCCTTTTTAAAAAGGTTTTGTTTAATAAAATTTGACAACAGTTTCATAGACAGGCTTCGAATATTTTCCAGGCCTTAGTTGTAATAGTGTTAATTATACCTATGCCTAGGTGTGTTAATGTTTATATAGTTCATTTATCTGTATAACGTTAGTGTATAATAAAGAAATGTTAAAAATTTATATTAAAAATATTAAATATAAAAAATAGTGAAAATTAAATAAAAAAATAGTGGTATGCTGTGAATAAACAAACCGCAGCAGCCGTTAGCGCATCAATAATCATTTTAATAAATTCGTCCGCACATTGGCCTGAACCGAAGCAAACTGAACGACCTTCCAACGTGTGGACGCGATCACAATTTCTTGGCCAATAACTCTGCCAACACATTCGCCACTGTGTTGGCCAACGTGAAGAGGCGCCATTATGCAAATAAACATCATTTATTTATTTAAGCCTACTTTGCCGATTTTCCGCCTAATAATGAGAACCTAATACGTATGTAAAGTTGGTTTCAGTGAGTGCTGAATACTGAAAGGCTGATATATGAATACAGAAATATAAGATGGTCTTCTAATAAAAAACTTCTTAAAGAATCGGGGTGGATATTGCCTCTGTCATGACTGGAATCAATAAAAGCGTACGCTTACCTAATTTAATTCTAGATAGATGTGTTTCACTCATTCACTCATTCAGACTGTTTCACATGCGTCAGAGCAAATGTTACCGCGAAATATAGTTTCTCATTAGAAAAACCTATAATTAGTTCTCATACTCACCCAAACGCTGTCCGTTGAAGAAACTGTGACCAGGATGCCGCTGCCGCCTCGATTTTATATGTTATGTTTATTGTCATTATTTTCATCATTAAAGTAGTATTTTTACTACCTCCTTTGTGATTTCATACATAAACATAAACACTCACGCCTGTCACCCAGAGGGGTAGGCAGAGACTATGGACTTTCATTTGGCACGATCCTGACACACCTCTCTCGCTTCCTCCACATCCATATACTTAAGCATACTCGTCGGTTAAAGCACAGATTACTAAATAGTTTACGAAACAGATACATCACTCCCATACAAAAGCGAAAATTCCTACGCTACAATAGCCTACAAAATCATCTCAATAATAATATCTGATGTTCGCAGCGAGAAGAAAATGTACCATAAGTACGCGCATAAAGAGTCGTGATTGTGTTGACCGCCGTGCGACTCACGTGCAAGCGCGTCATGATTGATGCGACATGACCTATAATGATAATTGTAATAAAATGAATTTTGCGAAATAACGATATTTTTTATTTGTCAATCAAATATGTTTGAGTTTTATAAAATGATTTATACATCTTTTTCCTTCTCTAATTTCTCCGTTATTAAATCTTATCGTTGAAAATATCCTAAGTCGCGTAAATAATTTTAATAAATAATCATGAGGAAAACAGGAGCAGAACGGAGGAAAATCAATGGTTTGTAAAATTTGTAACACGCTGGCGCTGCTGCCAGGCCGATTCATTATGGCGTTGTCAAAATTATTTAAGTATGCTTTTTTGACTCTGACATGACAACTCTTTCAATATCATCATACATACCGCTAGAATTACTAGCCTTGGTTGCTAGTAAATCTAGCTATGCTTTCTTCTTTGCTTCAACTTCCATCCTTACCTCATCATCCCACCATAACTTGTTATTTTTCCTTTCAATCGTTCTCTTACTTACACCACATACTTCGGTAGCTGCATCCACCAAACCTTTCTTGACATTATACCACACAGTCTCTAAGTCTAAATCATTCATACACAATTCAGCTATACCACAGCGGTGACACTCTCTGTACGAGTTGAAACGCCGGTGACATTAGGCCGGAGCGTGTAACGCTAGGGTTGATACCGAACCGAAATGGAATATTATAGACTTGTGCCAAAGCAGATACATAGTAGGTATATGTTATATAATGTTAACTTGTGTATTTAGATAGTGAAAGATACGATCAATTTTAAATCAACTTTTATTAAATATCTTTACAGATGGGGAAATTAAAATTTCCGACAAAACAAAATATTCACGTCAGTTAATGGTAATCTTAAATAATAATTAACCAACACTTAGTATTTCAGTACGCAATAATCAGTATTACCTACTACGCTTTAAAAATTACTTACTCTTTTATATTTTTGGCTTTTTCGATGACTTATAATTTTTATTATTATTTCTAACAATTGAAAAAATTCGTAGCCGTATGTATATTTTTTTTAGAAAATCCATAGGGAAGCATAGATAGATAGATAGATAACACTTAACTGTACGCCAAAAAATAACATAAATATTAACAAAAAATGAGAAAAATAAATGTGGTACAATGAGTGGTCTTATCGCTAAGAGCGATCTCTTCCAGACAACCTTTGGATGGACAGGATTGCAAGAAAACAATAAAAACGTGTGTGGTTTGGCGGCAAAAATAACAAAAATATTAATATAAAATTACAAATATATACTTTAAAACTATTATTTATAACATAAATGTGCCATACATATAAATAAATATGTAATATGTGTGCACGTAAAATCACTTGCACACGTAGACGCAAGTGATTTTACGTGCACACATGCTTAAGTGTCCTTTCTTTTTCGTAGTGTATTTATTCTTTGGCTATACCACTTATATTTTCTCTCAGTCTATATTTGAACTTCTCTTTCACACCTTCATCTTGTAACCTCTCTGTTCTTATACGCTGTAACGCAGTGGTAGACACAGATGTCCGATGCCGCCAACGTTTGAAAATACCATTAATTCGGCATAAGACCAAGTAATGATTCGTCCCTATGTTGGACCCCCGGTAAACCCTTGTATCTACCACCGCGCTCCTCATTCTTTCATCCACAATTATGAAATCTATCATGCTTCTATCGTCACCTCTTTCCCATGTATACATGTGAATCTTCTTATGACGAAAGAAAGTGTTCGTCACAAAAAGATTCTTTCCCACACATACGGTGAGGAGGCTTTCACCATTCTCATTTATACTTTCATCACCAAACGTTCCCAATATCCTTTCATAACCAAGCCTCCTCACCCCAACCCTTCTATTAAAATCTCCTAATATCACAATATTTTCATTAACCTTGCATTTCATTAGCACCATTCTTACAAAATCCCAAAACTGCTCTCGGATATAAGTGGGCTTAGACATGTCTGGGGCGTAGACCTCTAGAAAAGACAACTTCTTTAAGCCCACTTTCATTCGTATCCATAACAGTCTCGGGCTTACATATTCATACTCTTTCACACAATGCCTCATTCTTTCTGAAAGGATGATACCGACTCCCTGGCATGCCCGCTCGGTCTCGTCCACACCAGACCAGTACGCGGTATACATGCCATGTGTAGTGGCACCCTTTCCCTTCCGTTTCGTCTCATTAACACATAAAACGTCTATTCTTCATCTTATTGTTCATTGCTCCACATACATTCAACGTAGCCAGACGTGCTTCCGCAATCCATTTTTCGCCATTCCGGGGGACAGAACGTGACGGGTGGCGAACTTTGTCGCCGGTTTTTCTCCCGAAGATTCTTCGCACCCCGGACCATTTTGTGACTTTTTTGCCTCATGGTGCGAAAGTAGGGGGTGGTATTTATTTTACGCCGCTACCACACGGCGAGGAGCCGAGTCTGTTCTTTCGGCTTTGTCTCCCCTCTCCTTGTGATTTCATTTTAAATAATTTGGTGATTGGTGAATTCTCGGGATTTTTTTAATTAAAAATATCCCAAAAACTGGGGAACTTTCAAACCATAACTATAATAGTGATCAACGCGTGCCTAGTGTTTCTATATAGTTTGTGATAGTGATACTTTTTTGCAAGGTGGCAACACTGTCTGTTTTTGACTTTTTGACTAAGTGTTTATCAATCTAAGCTTAACTTTTTAACCAAAGTTGATGTGATTTTAGTGTTTTTATCTCAGTCAGTCTTTTTTGGTGTGAAATAATACAAATCCTTTACAATGGCGAAAATGGCATTTCAGCACCAAGCCGGAACGGCTATGGAATGTCTTAGTGTAAGCTAAGAGACCACTCCCAACTAGTTTTATTTGCTGTTCAATTCCTTTTTAATTTGTGCTTCATTCATATTACTTTAATTTTTTCTATAGATACCTATAACACTTCAAAAAGAAGCAGGCGTTGATGCAGAAGGTCGAGAAGTTATGAAATGTGGCTTTAAAATAGGAGGAGGTATCGACCAAGACTATCGTAAAAGTCCACAGGGATATACCGATAATGTAAGTACTCCTTTGGCGTATATTCATTAATCTTAGAATTGATTTTCTTTTGTTCTCATTTAATATCTCTCAGTCAATTGTTATTTATTACACTATATATAGGCCACATTGAGAGTAACTGAATCAAGGTCCAGGCCAGTGCAAAAACAAACATCTTGTAGACATAAAAACATTCAACAAAATTGAATGTTATACTAATAATAATAAACCGAGTGTTTGAAATAATAAACTATTAAAATAATCTATAATATAAAAATGAATTGCTGAATGTGTTGCTAAGCACAAATCTCGAGAGAAGCTGAACCGATTTCACTAATTCTTTTTTTATAATATTCCTTGAAGTACGAAGATAGTTCTTATGGAGAGAAAAATTTAAAAAATTGCCTGAAAAAGTCTAAAAACAACACTTTTCTATATTTCCATTCAAAAGATTCGTAGTAATACTTAAAAGTCAATTTGAACTTTAATACCATACCTTTATGGTAATGGTGGTTTCAGGCAAAACAATTATAATTTTTATTTTTTGACATAAAGTAATTGTTAATTTATAAACTATCTTTTTTCTTTTTTATCTTACTACCGGACCCGGTGTCCCGAATAGGAGAATAAATCTTTAAAAAAAATAAAGAATCAACTGTTAGGCGGTACAAAGTTCGCCGGGTCAGCTAGTGTAATATAAAGGTGTCATAAAATATTGTTAGAAACTTTGTATCAATTATGTTTGACAATAGTTAACATTTTATGTCAACTGCAACATAATATAAGGACAGCTTAAGGTGGCCCTAGTTCGTAAAAGTAATAGAAAAGATCAAAAGCACAAAAATAAAATTGGAAACAAAGGTTGGAAAAGCGCAGTAGTTGCATATTTATTTGGTAACTTACATTTGGAACAATAGGAAAGAAAAGTGCATATTTAAAAAGCGGTAACTTGCTTGGTTTTTAAATATGCCCATTCTAAAGATTTGGCTCCAACATGAGCCTTCTGCCTTAGCCCACACTCAACCGCTTATATAACAAAGACAAGATAAATGCTAATGATAAGGAAAGAAAAATATGTCTCACTTACGCTATGGGTTTGTACTTACAACTTTCATTCAGATGCATTTGTGGGCTAAGGTTTTACATAAGTGCCATGGAACCTATGAAATTGTCGTTTTTTATAAAATAAGTTAATGCAAAAAATATAGTCAAATGTCTATATTTTTTATTCCTATTAATCAAAGTAATCACCCATGCAATCGATTCATCTTTGCCAATGCAGTGGCAGTTTATTGATCAGTTGGGCGGGGGGCAACAAATTCTTCAAAGGCATTTTGTACTGCCACTCTGGTACTGTATTTTTTTCCCTCCAAAAAGTTATTTAATGCTGTAAAAAGTAAAAGTCTGTAGATGCAAGGTCTGGTGAGTACGGTGGATGACTGAGAGCTTCCAAGTCCAACCCCAGTTTTTGTAACTTGGAGACCATCTATTGTATGAGGTTGCATGTTGTTGTGCAAGAGCAATAGCGAATAGAGATTGACCAAAGAAGAAACCAAAGATTGATTGAAGATGTGCGAGCTTCTCCATCATTGAATTCAGTTCTTCACAGTCACGGACAGATATTGTTTTTGTTATAAGTACCATATATACTTATATATACATTACACTAAATACATTTAGTGAAAAGCTGTTATTTTGATGTTACAAACAGACACTCCAATTTTATTTATTTGTATAGATATTTGTATAGATTACTCAAATTTTTAATGTATCTGTGATGACGAAAAAGATTCAAATGCAATGAAAACATAGCACTAATCAATAAACATATGACTAATATTGAAAAAAGAAATCCATGTTTTAAACCGGTTCAGCCTCAGCCTCTACCGCCATGACGGTCAGGCACTGTAGAGTCTACATCACCTGAGGTTGCCTCGTGTAGAGGCGAAATACCGTGTCGTATTGTCGTCAGTGGTGTGTCTTGCCTAGTGTAGTGGTGTTGGGAGTAGCGGTGCTGGGATTAGTGGTGACAGGGATAGTGTACGCTATTGAGGGAGGGCAGGAGGTGCTCTTCATACTAGGTAAGACACATAATTTTATTTTATAGCGTGGATGTTTGCGAAGTAAATTTTTTTTAAAAAAGCTTTTATATAATGGATTTCCGCAAAGTAGCATCTGATTCTATTAATTATAAAATGGTTAAACTGCTGTCTTATTACTATCATATGGCCGAATAGATCTACGAATTACCATGTGCTCTTGTGATATGGTATAAGGTTTATTTTTGCTTGAAACAGTTCGAAACCGTTCATGCATAAAAAAAAGTTTGCTAATTAATGGTGTTTTGTCAATCCGCCGCCGTATAGCGCCGGCGTTTTTTTCCTTTTGAAAACACTTGTTTTGCTATTCTTACTAATTAGACGTTTTCAGATCATTTGTATAACATTAAATAATATCTAACATTTGTAAAAATCAATGAATCATAAACCTAATTTTTTTCCAAATTAAGGTTCTTCATTGTTTGATATTTACAAATGTTATTATTAGATGAAAATTTAATTTAATTAAAAACCCAAGGTTTTCCAGGGTGATTTAGCTGTACCTACTTATATAAATGATTTTTTTATAAAACAAATAAAGTACAAAATGTTTGTAATCTCTGCATAAAAAAAAGTCACTCAATTTCAAAGAAAACACGTAGTTACCCACTTCCGTTTGTAACTTATGTTTGATGTCAACTAAACTTAATTAGGTCTAAACAAGTGAAAAAAGCATAAAAAAGAACATTACTTTTACACATGGCTGATGGCACAATAGGTGTGTCATCAACTTCTGTGGCGAATTTTTTAAATTTTATTAATTTTTAATTCAATGAAATATTTATTCGCCGTCACAGCTAAAAGTTGTCGAAAATCGGTGCCGCAACGAATCGGTTAAAGTGAAATTAGAAGTCTTACCCCAACAAAAATTATTTTGATTTAAAATGGCCACTACTGCAGAGCGGCAATTTCATAGGTTACCTGTTATTTTTTTATATTACAAATTTTTACTTAACAATGGTACTAAACATATGATCTATCTCTTTTTCATTTTCACAACTTACCATATTATTTGCCAGACAGTAAAAATAACATGAAAAGCCTCAATCTTGATTAGTGAGGTTTTATTATCATAGTACAAAAGCTGATAAGAGTTATTTTTTTATAATAATTATATTTTTTTACTTTGTTATTGATTTTAGGGGATTTATGTAACTGAAGTACATGAAGGAAGTCCAGCTGCCAAGTCAGGATTAAGAATGCATGATAAAATTCTGCAGTGCAATGGGTATGATTTTACTATGGTAACACATAAAAAGGCTGTCAGCTATATAAAAAAGCATCCCGTACTAAACCTTCTAGTGGCTAGGAAAGGTGTAACATCCACATAACTATATATTATTAATAAATTTTAATTTATAGTGTATTGAACAAAGCACTGTTCATAAAGTATTTAAAATCAGATGATTTTATAATGTTATTTATTTTTAGGATATTTATAGATTTAAGTTTTGTAACTATATATATTTGTAATAAAAATTGTAGTTTTTGGTTACATTAGTTCTAATTATGGGATTATCATGAATTTATACAAGAACATTATGAGTTTTCATAACTCTTACTGAATCCGAGTATAACCAAATTGAAATTGTATTTTTTTCCTTGAGAAAAAAAATGCCTTTAATGGTTAGACTAAATAAAGTTAATAATATTAAACCTTATACTAGGTATCTTCCAATTGTTTCAAAAAATCAATCAGATGAAATTAAAAAACAATAGTAATTCAGTTTTATTTATGTGATTTCTGGATTTCGACAACAGCGCCACCTACCGGCTCCAATTGTGATTCTACACAAAAAATTTCATCTAAATCAGTCGAGCTACTTTTTAGTTTTAGCGAGACTAACATACAAAAATTGATTTTTATATATAGATACCTGTAATTAAAATTAAACAAGTAAATATTTGATAATTTAATATTCATAACATCATCTGAACTGATAAAAATGCCAAAAGTATATTAGCGCATGTGTAAGGTGAGATTGAGCTGCATACCACTTACTAAACTTTAAATGCTACAGCAATCTTCTCAATTTTCATTGAAAGTTTGCAGTATAAGCTATTTTTCGCAGTTTGTATTTAAAAAAAATTAATTGCAAATTTTAAAAAAGTAGGGAACATAATATTATGGACTATTTTGAAGCTTAACTTTTCGGTAACTTTCCTAATATTTGAACAAGGTTTTAACATTTTCAATATTATATCTTAAAGTTGAGACTTATATTGAAAGGGTATGGCTCCTCAATAAATAAATAATTTAAAATTAATACATGTGTATGTTCGTACAAAGGAACACTTATTAGCTTAACAAGTGTTCTTTTCACTTCACTTTGCACTTCACGCTCGGCGAGTGTGAAGAGTGTTCACTCTGATCGACTCATATCCGCTCATCTCGTCACGTGTGTTTGCTTTCGTGTCGGTATTTTGTACTAATATCAAAGTAGCTAGTGGCGAGCGCAAGCGTGCCCTCCATACGCTCGCGTACCCAGTGTTTGGAAGTCGGAGTAGGTTTACTGGTGATTATTGAAATTTTTTTTCATCATATTGGCATCTACCAAATATTGAAGAAAATTCTGGACCACCACTGAGACCACTGTGTACTTTTTGGAATTGTACCAAAATGAAACAATTTTTGGGACCCAAAACACCAAAGCATCTACTATTTACTACTTGGCAAAGCATTTTTTGTTGTACATTAGGTATGTACGAGCTTGTGGAGATGTTTTGCTCGCCTTGGCACGCAATGGCCTTTTACGAACGTGAAGTGCTAATAATAAGCCTTAAACTTTTAAACTTAATTAACAAGCAGTGTCAAACAATAGAACCCAGAATATTTATTTCAGCATAATTGCATTAAATAGTAAAATGTAGCATAAATTTATTTAATCCGTAAGTCTTCTCACCTGTGGTGAACATTGAACCTTATTACCAGATTTACCCTAATAGATGATGTTAATGTTGACGACACTCAAAACGTTAAAATAAATATGCTATCGGTAACTTTTTGAGAAAGATTAATTATTATAAATAAGTAAGTTAGATGAATGGGATGTATAAGCAAGTTACCAGTGTTATTTTTTTTTATAACAAATAAGTTATAATGTGACGAGGATAGTCTTAATTTTGGACTAATGATATATTTTCTAATTGAATTAATATGTTGATATTATTAGTTAGAATGACATTGTAAATAGTATTAAATATTTCTAATTAATTGTTTGTAATAATTTGTGCATGGTAAAACATTCCTGCAATATTTGAAATGTGTAAATGTGCCAATCATTTGAAATTGCTTATCATACTTGAAAATTTTAGATGCAATGACAATGAATTTAAATGTTTTGGTAAGATACAAATAAAATATGCTTATATTGTCACAAAACCATACATTTCATGTAGGCATAGTTATCAAAATGAAATGCATCTTATATTACTTTATGCATACTTAAGTATTATAATATATAAAATAAGGGCTACCCCTGGATAGATACGAGTAACATGCTGATCTAAACTGCAGGTTGTGGATGGTTCATGATCTGCCGTCATTGATGATGATGATGCTTTGTGTCAATGTAACATTATAATTATAAAAAATGAAAAATGTATATTAATGCAGTCTTCTGGACATTTTTAATCGTTGCTAGTGATTAAATGGAAAATATTTATGATATTCAACAATATTTATACCTTACTTAATATAATTTCTTTGATTTATTTCTGACTTAATTTGATATTATGGAATTTCGTATACAACATTGCTAATTGATTGAAAATCTTAAATTTTATAAACATTATTTCTTTCTGATAATACTATCAGTAAAAATTACTAAGCTGAGAAAGATCAGCATTTGGAATTGAAAATTAAAAATATATTTATTAAAAAAAATGCATTTTCGTTAAATAAAATAATAGGACCTTGTATAAAAACAAATTGGATAGATGCACTTGGTGGAAGATTTAAAATAATGTACAAACTGTTTAAAGCTTTTTTTATTTAATAAAAGTTTATTTAATAAAGATTGTGTTTATATCCTAGTAACCATCTAATATTGAAAAGAAATTAAACTTTTTTTAGTAACTAAGATAAATAAAAAGACTGCATGTAACATTCAGTTTTACTTCAAGGTTTTGCTGGAGGCCAATCCCACTGGCCCTTAGGCGGCTTAGCAACTAGAGGCTCCCATGGTTTCCAGTTTAACATTTTTCTAGCTAAATTAAGTTCATTTTCGGCTTGTATTATAAGTTCTTCAGCTTGACCACAGTTAATTTTTGATTCCAGTTCAAACACATCTTTTGTCTGAAAAGAAAGCCAGAAAGTTTTCAAAGTAATAGTAATAATATGCTTTATATATTAAACATTAGCACTACACGTCTCAGCATCTTTGGCGCTGCTGACCGTCGCCGGTTAGAGTATTTTATGTTTGACGTAAGCGTCATAGTTATGCCACCATCAAAATTTTTCTAACATTTACCATAGAAGCCTCTTAATACGACACAAACGTCACAAAATATGATGATGGATACTCCCGCCACACCGCTTACATTATGTTTATTTGTTGTTTAGAAGAATGAAGACCCTTACTAGCCAAGAAGAGGTCTTTATTCATTCTTGAATGAAGACCCTAAAATGAAGACTGAAGATCTCTACTACGCTAGCAAAGGTCTTCATCCTTCTTTATTTCTCTAATACCGTTAATTTCATAATTTGTATTGTATCATCATAATTTGTATTAACAGTGGTAGAGCCACATGGCAGCTTTTGCTGTCGCACGGATGGGCCGGCTCGAACCGGGGTGGTACCACGACCTCACAGAAAACCAGCGTGAAGTAGAGGTTTACCTCTGCGTTTCGTTTGGTGAGTGCAGGTGGCCGGAGGCCCTTTTTACTGGAAATGAGGCATTCCATCTTAGTCCTCACGGGTGACAACGCATCTACATTTTGATCTGTAATAGAGGATAGATGTAGATGTCTATGGGCCGCAGCAACCACTTACCATCAGGTGGACTGTGTGCTCGTTTGTCACCCTTATCCTATAAAAAAAAATCAACTGTCCATGAAACCCACTGTATTAACTGCCCATATAATTTTAAAGGCTGGTTTATAACGTTCTCAGCGATGAAGGAAAATATCGTGAGGAAACCTGTATGTCTGATAGATAAAAAAAATTCAAAGACATCCTAAAATCCTCATAAATGAGAGGTCTGTGAGAGTACTTTTTAACTGTCCATATGTGTGTAAAACTTATTATTATTCATTAATTCATTCATTACAAGGCTATCAAAAGTTCACTGCTGAACATAGACAATGTAAGAATATCCACAACCCATATCGTCCCGTGGGTGTCGTAAGAAACGACAAATGGAAACAAACTAGAAGATGGACAGCAGCGTCATATCCCCCCTATGATATAATCCATGGGGGGCCCACGGGTTGCCGCGCTTACTACTTATGCCAATGTCTATTACAAAATGACAATCATTTTGATGTTAACGAAGTTAGCGACTAGACCGCGCCTTTGCGTCCCCGCCCTCTTTACGTATTGCGCGAAGACACCGGTACAATTGATGAGACAGGGCATAGTACAAGTTTCCTACAAAGGTGTAATAAACAAAACCTTATGGATTTAATTTGCTTGGATTTGATATTGCTTAGTCCTACTTAAAATTTCATTAAAAATTAATTCATGTTACATTAAAAATTAATTTATTTCTGAAACTGAGTTGTACTGTTAGACAAAAAGAAAGTGTGGCATTGGACCGACGATGAACAGAATGCATTTAACGTGACCAAACGGCTTTTACACTTGATATTGTGGCGGCGCTGTAGTCGTGTCACCAGAGAAACTAACCGAAGCCTAAAGCACACTGTCAAAGTTCCGAAGTACAGTGAGTATATATAGAACAGCTCCGAATTAACACACGGAGCGTTGGCCGCTCGCCGAGCTTAACACCTTGCTCGGCGAGAGATCTCCCCTGGTGACCAACCGACATGATCTCAACACGCAACATATAACCTTTGTAAACCTCAATTTTCAAGCTTTCGTCATCGTCCTCTCATTCAAGTACCCCATCCATTAGTTCCAGAGCAGATTTGTGTGCAGTCTTCACATCCTACAAACTATCTAGCTTTACAAGGTTCAAAGCGCTACAGTGTTCAGCACGGCTCTGAGCCGCACTGCTCTCCTCTGCTTCACAGCACTCACGCAGACAACAAGTCAATTCCTGGCACATTCGTCGACATCTAGTTTCCACTATCGACTTCCGGTCTGAACAGGGGGATGATGTGGCGGCGCTGTCGTTGCGCCGCAAGCGAAACGCACCGAAGCCAAAATCGCACTATCAAAGTTCTGAAGTTAACGCGCTATATATAGAAACCGCTCACTGGGCTGAACACCATGCCCGGTAAGTCTATCTCCCCTTTTCGTTCTAAGTAGTTTCAACTTTCAAGCCTTCATCATTATCCTCAATAACCCCACTTCCGTGCCCTACTTTTCACTTCCGTTTTCTTCAGCTCCTGCAAGCCGGTTCAACTTGTCTTCATCTCGACTCACCGCAAGCGTCACTTTAAAAAGACTTTTGGCCCATAGTTTTCACGGGCATTACTTGCAATGCCAATTAGTATGGCTTGCATTACATAGCGGCGTCACTTGCCCTTACGCACACAGCATGCATCCCCCCCCCCCCCCTGCATTAAAGATGCACCGGCAATCGGACTGCACTATCGACCTCCAGTCTGAGCAGAGTGGTGATGTGCGGCGATCTAGTCGAAATGAACGGTAACCTAAGTTACGCTATCAAAGTTTCGAAGTACAGCGAGTATATATAGAATAGCTCCGAACTATCACATGGTACATTGGCCGCTCCCCAGGTTACGGCCAAAATATATCATTGGTTCATTATTTATTTCAACCTGCAATCCTTTTTAATTTTAACCTGTGATGGTTCGGAATATGGTGGTGGAGTTGTATTGCCACATGTGATGAAAGATAGACAAAAAAAACCGATTGCAAAAAAAAGTCAATATTCACTATTTGACAAGGAAGCAGCAGCAATCATATTTAGCATATAACAACTCTACAACAACTGATCGGTTGGTCACTTACTATTATTACCGACCATAAGCCTCTGCTTGGGATCATTGATCCAAAAAGCCCATGTCCAATATAATATCATCAAATAGTTGATTTTTTTAAATAGATTAAGGGTGACAAACGAGCACACAGTCAACCTGATAGTAAGTGGATGCTGAGGCTCAATTAAGAATCAAAATCCAGAAGCGTTACCAATTCTGAGGACTAAGATTGTTAAGCTAGGCTAGGCTGGATGACTAGTTCGAAAATCGGAAATGCAGATTAACTTTATATATTTAATATCTAAAGTTAAATATATATATTTACGAGTTCATTGGCTTTATAAAGATGAGTTAATCCTACAAGATGGCAGTACCCACATCTTTACGCACGTAAATGCTACCTTGCCTACTACGCATCAGTAGTAGTTAGTATCATACTAGGTCCCAAGCCCGGATGAGAAAAGAGGAGGGGTGGTTCCGCCGGAGAGAGTGGGTCTATCTGGTGGATTAACACACCCACCTGCACTAGGACCTGCGCAGTCGAGCGCCGTACGCGGGGATGAAGGAGTCCTGGAGGGTTGGGCCAATCGTCACTGGGGTATATAGTGGCGAGAGGCAAAACGCCCTCCTTCCGGTCCGAATTTTAAGCTAAATAGCTTGAAATCCGGACCAAAGATCCCATCTGTTAGCCACAGGTAGAGAAATGGCCAAGCGCCCAATCAGAGGGTCGCAGGCGAGGGATGTGGGGGCTGCCCGGTTTCCTGAAAAGGGCTAGGTGGCTGACGGAGCAAGTAACAGTCATTCAGGCAGCGAGGATAGGCCTTTTCATCCCTGTCTGTAAACTGGATCGAGCTCCCGATTTCGCGCTGTGAGCCAACTTCGCGTGGGAAGCCGGGGAGACGAATCTTCAAACTAAATTAATAATGGACGACTTAAGGCCCAAAATAAAAAAGGAGAGGTGTCGTCCAAGAGGTACCACTAAAATGGCGACTCCTTAGAGCGCGTCATCCAGCGTAGGTGGCCCTTTCAAGGGAATTCCCGCGCTGGAGGCTCCTGAAACTAGTTCCTCGGATCTGGATGCAGATAGAGAACAAGGGACCGCGAGTAGAAATACTCCTAAGGGACCCCTTAGAACGGAAGACCTCTTCTCAGCTGCCTGGCAATTGGGGAGCCGTAAAAAGAAAGGTAAAGCACCCAAAAAGCTGACTAACCGACCCGACGGACCATCAAGTGGGTCTATCCAGCCAGGAAGCGGTAGTAAGGTCTTTACCTTACTTCCGCTTATCTCTCTCTTTTCTCTCAGAGAGAGAAAGCCAGAGAGAACCAATCATACCAATCCCTTTTGGTAACTGTTATATATTTTATGTATGCATATTTAAATACGTGCGCGTGGCTGCGACCCCGCGCTTCCCCCGGCGCACCTGTAAAGACAGTGCGTTGCCAGCTAGCAATTGTTTTACTCGTGTCCCTACGTCCGATACTTAACAGTAACGTTTGTTCACTGGTATGTAGACACTTCACTAATCAAAACGCTCAACTATGGAAAAATCTATTAGAGTGGAGACAAGCTAGAGAGGCCCTGCCTGAAATAAACAGTTGTTTAACCAAGATTCTAATGAGACTGAACAAGCCGTAGATCAGGATAGTAACAAGTGCTATCACAGGATACGGCACCTTTAACAAACATTTATTTACCATAGGTGTTACGAACAGTCCCCTGTGCAGAGCATGTATGGGGGAGGAAGAAACGGCGGCCCACGTGTTGCTGACATGTCCAGAAATCACTGCATACAGAGCTAAACATCTTGCCATACCGCGATCACTCCCAGAAGTTGCTTGCATCATCAAAGGACTGTTGAACTCCTTCGGGGAGATTTCATGGCTTGAATAGATACATTATTCCTGCCCACACACAAAATATGCGCTTAGACGTGGAGTTGCAGAAAACAGCCCATTCAATTGAATAAGTACTGCTATTGGTAGGACCTATGTTTGTTGACCTTGTTTAGACAAAGACATAGACATGTTAATTAATTCTTGTACAGAATGTCCCGAAAATAGGCATGTGGCTATATTGCAGTATAGAATACACTTATTCTATTAGAAAAATTATTATAGAAACAATGACTCCACTATTATTACTCTACTAATTATCCACTACTATTATGTAAACTATAAAAAAGACACATCAAGGTGATTATTGGATTTGAAAATTTAAAAGGGAAGAATTCTATCAGAACTTTAACAGTGTTAAAGATAGCAGGTGTTTCTGACCCTGTAAATCATCTGCTCTGCAAAAAGGAGGAGCCTTTATTTAAGGTTGGTTGAAGAAAATAAAAGTGTTTCTGAAAAGTGTTTAGAAGAGGAAAAAGCTATTGTTGATATCACAAAAATCAAACTAATTTTGATTATAGAAAAATGTCATGTTGTTTATTTGAATGATAAATAAAAACTTACAAATTTATAGATTTTTAAGATCTTTTTCATAAATAGCACTATCCTTTAATTATATTCACACAATACTTATTGTATGTCAAGAAGCATGCTGTTATATCATACATCTAAATAAATTACATGTATGTATATTAAAAGGCATATGTCATATTAAAAATTTAAATAAGTTACATTATTTACCAGTATACTCTAAGAGATATATTACGTCTTTGTCTGTTCTGACATAATAGATTATTATTATTCTCAATGTAGTGACACTACCTATAGGCAATGTATGAAAATAATAGTGTTCAATGGCAACCAATGATGTAGTCCTGTCCATCAACATGTGAAATACCTTGTTATATAAAATAAGTTTAGGCAAGTTTGGGAAAAACATCATTATTTCATTTGTTAGCCTCATCATTTGCTGTATAATCCAATAAGGTCAATACTTCATTTATTATTTTATCAATACAATTATTTTCTTTTTAATATATGAACTTGAAGCAGTGTCATAGGAAACCTGGCAAATCACTACTAATCTATATCATGTGTTCACTATAGTTAGTAGGTACAGCAAAGCAGTGTTTAATAGTATTATGTTACAAAACTAGATATCCACCCTGGCTTCGCAGGAGTGATTTCTGAATCTCCACAAGAGCACCTCTAAACGGGTTCAACTATAGCTAAGAACCATCCAAATTACCCCACAAAAATTTTATCAAAATTGATCAAGTCGTTTAGGAAGCGAAGAATTACAAATACATGCACATCGAAATTTTATATTTAATTATACATATAAATATTCCTCTTCTATCATTCTGTCTATTGATGAAAACCACATCAAAATCTGTCTCTTAAAAGATCTAAGAGTACAGTCGGCGGAAGCGACCTTGTTCTATACTATGTAGAGGTTACCTCGAATCTCACATGATTAAAATTTAGAAAGTTTACAATTCCATGTTTCAAATAATCACAGCCTTCAAAAACATAATCATTACCTGTTGTAAAACAGCTGCCCTCTCACGTACAATTTGTTCAGTGTATTTTCTATAAGCTGCATCTGATGGCATTTTTTGCAGTGTCCTTAATATTTTTCCATAAAGTGAACCAAGGGTATGGTGTGGGTTAGCAGCAACTGCTAAGCCCATTAGACCTGTGGTCTGATGAAGAAAACATAAAATTTTGGAATTATTTGGATATTTATGGATTGTTAAGAGTTTTAAAAATTAAAACTAGAATAATGATGTTTCTGTTACATAACAATATTATGTGAAAACACAAAAGGAGTAAAAAATAAAAATAACATACATACCTTTTTTAAAACACCCATTGTTTTGCTTAGGTTCCACAGTTCAACTTAGTCTTAGTAGTCTCAAACAGTAAATATTTATTCCGCGAACGAATCTGTTATCTTTACAAACGCTTTTCTATTTTCTATTTTTTGAACTGTGGAAATTAATCAAGTCTACGTCTACGGTGACATTGACATGAGAGTGAGACGACATGAGAAGTAGATTTTTTTAAACTGGCTTTACGTATCTGGGTTCTAGCCCTTCTGAGCCTGCATGAGAAGTAGAGCACAAACTATATCAAAGAGTATAGTAACTGTCCTATACAGGAACGGTGAAGTAAAGGTGGGCATTCGTAGATAGAGGATTGCACGGAAGTATAGACAAACTGGAACCCACACTCCTAATATCAACATTAGGAATAATCAAATGACCTTGAGTAACCCTTGTTTTCCCTACAGGATAACCAACGTGACGACTGATATTACCTCATTGACAGCCATCAAGAATTTCAGTATAAGTTTAATTCTCAGTATGGCAAGAATTTTAAGTAAAAAATGATAACGAAACTTGTCAAAAACGATTTTCACTTTAGTGTTTGCTGTTTCTTTTAAACACTTAATAAAGATTTACGATGAACTATTTGCCTAACTTCCTACATATTTCCCCTATTTTAGATTTATTCTTAAAAGTCGTTATATGACAACCCAAAATCTATTTGTCAAATAATTTTTACTGTACATGGCGGATGTTTATGTTCATTTCGCAGGTTTGTTTTTTTGTATTTTAGAATAATGCAGAGGCAAAACTAGTAAAATGGTCATTAAATTTATTGTGCGCGGTTGCAAAAGTGAGTGGCATCCAGAATGTAATATTATATTTCATTCTTAAGTACAAAATACCATACAAATACTGCGTGTCATGTCAAACTGATTTTTAGTGATATTTCGACTTTAATTGCTATGATTTCTATATATAAATATGGTTATTTTGGTTTAGATGTTAATTTTTGTTCGGTATTTCCAATTTTACTTCGCTATTTGCTTAATAAATAATGTTTCATGTTTGTATTATAATTTCGACTAGTGTGACCATACATTGTAATGTATTTTCGGTTTAATTACAAACGGAAAAGGTTTACTCGAATGGAATCTCTGCTCGATTTGCGTGAAATGTCGAAACGTTGTTTACACGAATGACGATACACTGAAACATAAAAATTAAAATAAAATTTATATCTTTTATTACTTAATTCTTTGCAGGTTTCCTTCCAATCTTACAGAACGTAATAAATGGTTAAATAATGTGGAGCTAAAAATACCTTTTTTTGAAAAAGCAAAGATCTGTAATCTTTTTCATATCAACCAATTACATGATTACTGTGAAACAACTGAGTCAAGGAGTCACACCGTTTTTAAATGAAATAGCAGATTGTTCTATGGTACATGTATGAACTTTTGTTAGGTACTTGTTATTTCTTATTTCAAAGCGAAGTTTTGTTTCCAGGGAAGAAAAGTAATTTATAAAAATCTTTTTTCTGAGAAAGAAAGAAAAATGCATTCTGTTACCTAGAAAATAGGAACAGCTTAATATGTTATATCACTAGGCTATACTTTGTAAAAATAATTACAAGCTATTTTTGTACAACAGTTTGCTAAGTATTTAATTGTATTTAATTTTTTAAATGAAAATTTACACATTTAATTAAAATTGCGGTCTCAGGAAATCAATTTTTTGACAATTTTGTTACACGTATGTCAGTGCTATCGCTATAAATAAAGATATAAATATAAAAAAACAATTTTTGTTTTAATGTTTTAAAAGTAGTTCTAATTAATTATACAATATGCAACTTTGCCAAACGTTGAGATCTTAAGACGGTCTTTGGCCTTTTTTAATTGCATTGTGGGGCTTTCGAATCCGAATCCGATCTCAAATACTGATGATACAGATACTGATGATGAAATCGAAAACCACTTGCAGGCTTTGGAATCACAAAACACCCATACGGATTATCAGAAAACTATTCTTTATTATATTACTGGTTATATAATAAAAATATTGTCAAACAGCTGAAATGTAACGATTGTAAAAATTTGCTAATTGCTGCAGATCATTTACAAACCGATCATTTATACGTTTTGAATGTAAATAAATATCAATATCTACAACATTTATAAATAGAGGTAAATTGCTTATTCCATCCGCAGAGGTGTACAAAATTGTCCTTTGTTTCGGATAAAATATTTAAAAGGGCATCAAATATGAATAGTCTGAGTCAACCTTATATTAAAAATGTATTAATCAATATTATTATTCAACACTTCACACTACAGTTGCGACCAATGTTTTATATATATATATATATATATATACATATATATATATATATATATATATATATATATATATATATATATATATATATATATATATATATATATATATAGTGTATTTTATACGTGGTAGAGCCATGCTGCAGCTATATTAGTAGTATAGTACTAGCACGAATGGGAATAGAAACAGCTCGACCGGGGAAGGACCACATCTTCAACAGAATACCAGCGTAAAATAGCAGCCTACCGCTGTTGTGTTTCGTATGGTGAGTGTAGAGAACCGGAGACCCTTTTTACTGGGAATGAGGCATTCCATCTTAGTTCTCGCGGGTGACAACGCATCTGCATTTTGATTTGTAATAGAGGATAGATGCAGATGTCTATGGGCCGCAGCAATCACTTACCATCAGGTGAACTGCATTAGCCTATGGATGACAGTATTAATTGCTCTGAGTTTCATCAATCCAGAATTTTAATATTTTTTTTTTTATATAGGATAGGGTGACAAACAAGCACACAGTCCACCTGATGGTAAGAGGTTGCTGTGAATTTCAAACTCTTTTTTGACCATGCATCTCAGAACGCATCTAAAAGATTTTATGGACCAAAAGTTGAGTGCTGTTCGTACCAAGCGACAAAAACTTCACAAAACTATTCAATCATGTATAAAAATTGTGTTGTTGTAAAAACCTTCACCTCTAATTATTATTGTAGTATATTTTAAATTTGTAGACACTATTTCTATTGTAATATTAAATGTAAATAAAAACGAGTATTATTTTAGTATTATTATTTCCTAATGTTACATTATAAGGGATGTAAAGACATCCTCCTGAAAACTTTAACCATGAACTCATCATGACCATCATCCTGAGCAAGGTACTGAAGGAATTTCTTTGTGGAAATTAAAAAAAATTGACTTCGCATACAAAGTTGGTCACGTAACATTTTGATTTTTTTTTTCATTTTTGGACAAAAATTATTTTAGATTTTGTTCACGATGATGGTCTGAGTTCATGGTTAAAGTTTTTTATATTGAACCCGTTCACTCGTTTATTCGTTTATTGACAAAAAAGTACACGAATAAATAATACTAATTAATAAACTTCCGTCCGCAGCTTCGTCCTTATGAATTTTTCTATCATGCGTTTCAATGGAACTCTACTATTTTCTATTAAAATAAAATTTTATATGTGAATTTAATAACAATGAAATGATTTTTCCCACAATATCCCAAATTCTTGTATTTTGTGTTCACCCTAATTAGAAAGAGACTGAGGGGTAATGAAAAATTTCAAGGTCGTTTTCTTGTATTTTTTATGTCATTTGAGAGTGCGGGTTCCAGTTTGTACGAAGTACATATATTTCCATGGAGGATTGACTAATATGCTATGTCTATGTGGGCGATGCAAACAAACATGCAATTTTTTTAATAACTTGTTTTACGGCTCTGGGATCTAGCCCTTCTGAGCCTGAAGTTACAATATATTATAATTATCCTTTATAGTATACGGCTTTATAATATGTTGATGCGTCACGTTGTGCAGGACTTGGGAGATTTTACGGCAACTTGAGCCAGCAGACAGCTGATGGTTGGCGATGGTATCTCAAGGCGCCTAAGCAGACAGACACCTTATATTGAGAATCACATCACCATTAGAGCACTTGTTTCACAGTTTCCACTGATAGTTCACATGCGCAGACACTTAATACACAAAACCGCATCACTTTTACATATCAAATTCCACTTCAAACCATTTAAACAATAATACAAGAGCAACAAACCACCGCCGGTCAAGTTCCCGCCAAAACTCGCAAACATGCAAACCGAACCGTATACTCACAGACTAATATGATGCTTACGCACCGTATGGACACAGATTACTGTATACCAGTCTAGTATAGGACAGTTACTATAATCTTTGGTATACTGATTCCAAAGAGTATAGTAACTGTTCCTAACTGATTCGAAATCTATATATTATAGTACGGCCGCTGAGTTATTACCGATTTGACAGATTATTCTTAAATTAATCGATATAACCTTGCACGAGCGACACATTTGCCGAATGATTTATAATACCTCTTTAATATAAAACTTTATGTCAAAATGTCAGAATCAAGTAATTTTCCAATAAACTCTGTTTCAAAACTTAAAATAGTTTGTAAATAATATGAAAACATTTATTTTTTGTTCTTTGGCGCGCTTGTACAAAGTTACATCGTGCGTCTAGTTTTCATAGTGATGTGCTTGATAGTGTTCGGTCCGAATTCATTGGAATAGATATGATATTTATTTTATTTGGATATTTTTATTTTACTTATTCCTTCGAGCAACTAGACTATAATGCTACCATTTTTTTGCGTCTCCTAATTGCACTGTGTTGCCAGTATCTCTATGATTTTTAAGATTTATGTGTGATCCAAAGACAGAAATACTGTTTTCTATGATTTAAAAATAAATACAATTAAAATGATTATGTATAATTTTTAACATTCATAATATATAAAACAACATTTAATAAATATAATTTTCTCCCTCAATTAAGCAATGTTATAGGTGTATTTTTTTAAGTAATTGGCGATACTATTCTGGCGACACCCTTACCACCGCTATTTTAATCTGTTTAGTCGTCTTCCGTACTCTCGTGCGCACAGACTACGTTCTCTTGTGTAACCGTTGTTTTTTGACTCGGCTTTCTCCTGTTTATCGTTGCGCTTTATTGGACTAATTTTGTTTGTGTTTGGTAATTTTGTTGAAAATGCCGAAACGAGGAAAAACATTGAATAGTCAATGTCGTGAGCTTGTACTAAAGCTACAGGATTACTTTGAGCGTGAGTCACAAAATGGCGGCCCTTTGATTCCTGTCACTCAAGTAAAAGATCGGGTTTCACAAGCTCTTGGAATTGGTGCAAAAACACTATATAATATAAATAAAGAAAAATTTGGTGCTTCTGGAAGTGAAGATAATGTTTTACGCACTCCTAAGAAAAAACGAAGACAAAAGCCCGTGACAGGTGTTGATGTTTTTGATGCAGATGCAATAAGAAACCACATATATGGTTATTATACTAGGAACGAGTTTCCAACTAGACGTTTGCTTTTGGTCTCTTTAAAAGAAGCTGGCTTGTTTAAAGGCGGTAAAACGGCGTTGTCAAAACTATTGCACGAAATTGGGTTTGAATATAAAAAAACGAATAAAAGGAAAATATTAATGGAAAGATTTGATTTAATAATTAAAAGGAGCGAGTTTTTAAGAGAAGCCAGAAAAATCGAGTCTTGGGACAACGTCGTTTTCGTTGACGAAACATGGTTAAATGCGAACCACACTGTGTCACGCTCTTGGACTGACGAAACAAAAGCATCAACCTCAAAGGTTCCAATTGGAAAAGGATAGCGACTGATAATTTGTCACGCCGGTTCTGCTGGAAGTGGTTTCTTTGAAAATGGACTGCTGGCTTTCGCGTCAAAAAGTACTTCCGATTACCACGAGGAGATGGATACAGACACTTTTACGAATTGGTTCGAAAATCAATTATTACCCAGCCTGCCAGAGCCTTCTATCATAATAATGGACAACGCTTCATATCACTCGAAACAAGTGAATAAAGCGCCTACTCAGGCCGACAAGAAAGCTGATCTCGTAGCATGGCTACACCAAAATGGAATTGAAACTACTGCCGAAATGCTAAAGTCTGACTTAGTAAAGTTGGTACGCGAAAATAAAACATCAAGAGTCCGTTATGAAGTAGATGAGATAGCTCTAGCACATGGACATCGGGTACTTCGAATTCCGCCTTATCACTGCCAGTACAATGCCATTGAGCTAATATGGGCACAAATCAAAGGTATTGTTTTTTATCGCATAAGTTATGAATATGAATAATTTGTACTATTATAACATCCAATATTCAGCATATAAGTAAAAAGATACATAACTAAGAAATAAATATCTCATGTCCCTTACATGTAGGTAATTGTGTAACATTTCGTTTATTTAATGTAATAAATTAACGTTATTTAATGTTTACATTACAGGTTACGCAGCTCGTAATAATACGACTCCGCCATTCAGTACTAATAAAATGATGGGTCTATAAAAAGATGCTCGCAGCAAAATATCTTTTATAATTTGTGCATAGATTATGCACAAAATATGCATAGATATGTAGCAAGATAAATTTGTGATGTGTTGCGATGAGAAGACCGTGCTGCCAAATCACAAAACCCATTCATTGCTAACCTTAAGCCTCGGCCACACACAGCGAGTACTCGCTGTGGTTAGGCACTCGCAGTGAGAACTCGTTGTGTGTGACAGGCTATTCGCTGCGAATAGATAATAATAATAATAATAATAATAAATCTTTATTGACATTTTTATAGTTTACATACTTTTTACAAATATATGCAATACATCAAGAGGACTAATTTGAAAATGGGTAGAATCCTGAGTCTCCTAGCTAGGTTACTTAGTAACCTGTATTTAGGAGATACAGACCTATCCCCCCTTTTGATTAGAAATACATAGTTGTATTGTTTAAGTTTTTGCATGTAAAGAAATAAAATTTTAAAAAGACAATAAACTGATCTCTGAGTGAGTGTGTGTGTGTGTGTGTGTGTGTGTGTGTGTGTGTGTGTTGTGTTTGTGTGTGTGTGTGTGCTCGTGCGTGTGTATGTATTAAGTAAAAAATTATATAAAATAAATATACCACAATGCGACGTAATATTTTTTTTTATAATAATGTTAACAAGTATTGTTCCGTATCATCATATGACTTATTTAGCAGGAAAGAGCGGACAGCAGTTTTACAACTAAATGTTGACATTTCATAAATCTCTATTTTCGCATTCATTTTCTGCCGACTTCCAAAAAGGAGCCGGTACTCAATTCGACTGTATGTTTTTTTTTTTCGTTTTTTTTTATGTGTGTTACCTCAGAACTTTTTTCTGGGTGAACCGATTTCGATGATTCTTTTTTATTTGAAAGCTGGTACTTCTCGTGTGGTCCCATATGAATTTGATCAAGGTCAGACCAATAGTTTTTAAGTTATTCTTAAATAACTTATATTTAAGTCGGCTGTACAAAATTTTTAATTTTAAATTATGTTATAAAGTAAAGGACCTAAGTAATAAAAACATCTTTTTATAAATGAAAAATTGACTAGTGGAAGTGTGCATACTTTGTCTTTACGACGTCTTGTAATTTCAATGAAAGGAGTCTTAACATGCTGAGGTAATACTGTGTGCAGTATAAAGAGCTGCCTCACACTAAGAACAGCGCAATTTTGATATAGTTGAATAGTTGGAAATAACATTGGTTTAAGAGTAGCAACCTTTAAGATAGCTCTTTGCGCAACTTCATGTGATTTTAATATTGTTCTTGCAACACTACCCCAGCAAGAAATGCAATACGTGATTATAGACTGACATAAAGCGTAATGAACGTTGCGTATAATTACGGAGTTGGCGACATATCGGAGTGTTTTAAAAACATATATTAATTTGCGAACCTTACATGTTAAGAGATTTATGTGCATTTTAAAATTAAAGTGTTTATCTAGTATAATACCGAGATACTTCATATTATCTACAGAATTTATGTGGGGACACAGACAAGAGGAAGACTGAAGAGTACAAGAGTGAGCTTTCAACTTGATGGGAATATTTGATTGCGAGGTTGGACTTATAAAGCAAGTTATAAATTTTGTTTTGGAAATATTAAGAGTAAGAGTGTAAGATAAAAGCCAATTATATATGTGATTGAAACTGCGTTGGGATTTACTTTCAAGATCTTTCCAAGATGTTGCATATAAAGTAATAGCAGTGTCGTCTGCAAAAGAGACGATTTTTGCGTTATCAATGTGAATATTGCACAAGTCAATGATGAAGACAAGAAATAGAGTCGGGCCAAGAATACTTCCCTGGGGGACACCATAGTATACAGGAAGTTCGTCACCGACGCAGTCAGATATTTTGACCATTTGGGTGCGATTTATAAGATAACTTCTGAAAAAGTCTAACTGTAAACCTCTGACACCCATTTTTTCTAACTTGGATAAAAGAATGGAAACAGGAATTGTGTCAAAGGCTTTTGCTAGATCTAAAAATATTGCTAGGACCTTCTTATGATTATTTAGATTACTGATTATAAAATTTATTAATTCATGAACTGCATCAGATGTTGATTTATTTTTACGAAATCCGAATTGTTGAGGTGAAATTAATTTAAAATGTTCAAGATAATGGACTAGTCTATTGTTCACTAGGCGTTCTAGGACTTTAGATAAGGCAGGTAGAATAGAAATAGGGCGGTAATTAGTAACTAAAGTCCCGTCACCACCCTTGAAGATACATTCTGTATTATAGACTTTTTTAAAGAATTTGGAAAAATAGCAATTTCAAAACAGAGATTAAATATATGGCTTAGCACAGGTGCTAGTGTAGCAGAGTATCTTTTTAGTATGGCGGGAGATATGCCATCCCAACCGGTAGCAACATTAGTCTTTAAACTTTTTATTATTGAAATTATTTCATCCGTACTAGGTTTTTCAAGAACAAAAGAAGAAATACATGTAAAAGATTGTGAAGAAGTAAACTGAGGTAAATTATTAGATTTGATTATATTGACCGCAAGTTCCTTTCCAACGTCAACAAAAAATTTGTTAACATTATTACATGATTGCTTTAGAAACATTGCTTGTGCAACTAACTGACATGATGATTGTTTATTGTGGTATGTATTTGTTATTTTTTTGATAGTATCCCATAGTGCTTTAGGGTTTTTACCTGCTTTCCTTATTTCTTGAGCATCATAATATCTGTTAGCTTTCTTTAAAATTTTAGTGCAGAAGTTTCTATACCGCTTAAAAGTGATAGACAGCGTTAAGTTATTAGGAGACTTTTTTAATTTTCTATGCATTGAATCTCTATTTCTTATACATCTTAATAAGCCTGGTGTCATCCACGGTCTAAGTATTCTATTTCTGGACGATATTTTTTTAAGTGATGAGTTTTCAGCTATTGCACCCAAAAAAAGTTTAATAAGAGTTTCAGTTGCGGTATTAGGATCTAACATGGAATAAATAGGTGTTAAGTGAAGTTTTTCGACTGTTTTATCAAGTTTGATAAAGTCAACTTTTGAAATAGTGGAAATTACATTATTTTGTCTTTCATTCTTGATACCCAAAACAGAGGCATAATGGTCAGTGATAGTGGTGTCGAAAACCAAAGCTACAGCCATGTATTTGGTGCGCAAGATAAAGTGATCAATGCAGTTTTCTCCTCTGGTTGGGAGGGTGTGAGCAGGAAGAAGGCTATGATATGCGAGACAATTAAGATATTCATGGCTGCGTATATCTAAAGAAGAAGATTTTATATCTAGATTTATATCTCCAGTTATTATGACTGTCTTACATTTGGGAAGCGGTGTAAGTGTAGCGTTGAGTATCGAAAGAAACTCATTTATGTTGTCATTTGATGGTGATCGATAAATGCAAATAAGCACTGTATCCGAGTCAATCGTAGCGATTAGTCCAGACGCCGCATTGTTAAAATTTATTTCTTCAATATTTACCAAGATGCATGATTTAATGTAAATAATTACCCCATCACTTTGATTTTGATGTTTACAAGTTTTGTACATAGTGTAGTGCTGTATATAAGGAATATTTTGATTACTTGAGCTGGGCAACCACACTCTGTCAAAACTAACACATCGCAATCAAATGAGATTCGGTCAAGTAAGGTCTGTAGACTAAGCAATTTATCGATCTTCTATTTTGATTTAGTATTTTAGGAATTTGTTTGGTTGTTTAAAGTAATCTTTAGCCTCTTCCGGAGTACAGTAACAGGTTTCACTTATAGTGCACTGGTCTATATTGTCGATGTATGAGTTAATATTATGTGCCATTTTTATTATAAATGTTTGAGACGTATAATTTGTGTATGTAAGAGAATAAGATTGTACTGTTTATTTGAACAATAGAATGTATGGAATCATCATCATCATTACAGCCCT